GATCCACCCACCTCGGCCTCCCAAAGTGCTAGGATTATAGGCGTGAGCCACCACACCCTCTCATTTGTTTCTATTTCTAATCCATCTTCTTCATCTCCACTCCCACCCCTTAAATTCAATTGTAGTCTTAGAAAGATAGTTAAAAAATTAAAAAATTGAGTTGTTTTTAAGGTTTAGGCTCATGCCTGTAATCCTAGCACTTTGGGAGGCCGAGGTGGGCGGATCACCTGAGGTCAGGAGTTCAAGACCAGCCTGGCCAACGTGGTGAAACCCTGTCTCTATTATAAAAAAGAAAATAAATAAATAAATAAATAAATAAACAGAACATTTTTTTTTTTAAATTAGAACATTTTCCTTAATGAAATAAGAACAATAAAATTGTTCACTTTTTTGGGGGGACATAGTTTTCACTGTCGCCTAGGCTAGAGTGCGGTGGCGCGATCTCAGCTCACTGCAACTTCTGCCCCTAGGTTCAAGCAATTCTCCTGCCTCAGCCTCCCAAGGAGCTGGGATTATAGGTGCCCACCACCACACCCAGCTAATTTCTGTGTTTTTAGTGGAGACAGGGTTTCCCCATGTTGGCCAGGCTGATCTTGAACTCCTGACCTCAAGTAATCTGCCCACCTTGGCCTCCCAAAGTGGTAGGATTACAGGCGTGAGCCATTGCGCCTAACCTAAAATTGTTCATCTTTTTTTTTTTCCTTTTTTTTTTGAGACGGAGTCCTTGCTCTTTTACCTAGGCTGGAGTGCAGAGGCGCAATCTCAGCTCATTGCAACCTTTGCCTCCCGGGTTCAAGCAATTCTCTGCCTCAGCCTCCCGAGTAGCTGGGATTACAGGCACCCACCACCACATCCGGCTAATTTTTTGTATTTTTAGTAGAGACGGGGTTTCACCATCTTAGCCAGACTGGTCTTGAACTCCTGAACTTGTGATCCAGCTGCCTCGGCCTTCCAAAGTGCTGGGATTACAGGTGTGAGCCACCTCGCCCGGCCAATTGTTCATCTTAGCTAGTGGAAAGTTACACTCGATATTTTATAGCTTTTAAATAAATTCACCCAAAAATCTGAGTAAGGTCTGTAGGCTAATTATACCAATGTCAAGTTCCAGGTTTTGAAAAAGTACTATATGTACTATGTGGTAAGACGCTACCATCAAGAGAAAATGAAGGCCAGGCACAGTGGCTCATGCCTGTAATGCCAGCATTTTGAGAGGCCAAGGTAGGAGGATTGCGTGAAGCCAGGAGTTTGAGACCAGCCTGGGCAACACAGCAAGTCTCCTTCTCTACACACACACACACACACACAAAATTAGCCAGACGTGGTGGTGTGCCCCTTTATTCCCACCTACTTGGGAGGTTCGGGTGGGAGGATCACTAGAGTCCAGGAGTTAAAGGCTGTAATGAGTTATGATAGCGTCACTGCACTCCAGCCTGGGTGACGGAGCAAGACTCTGTCTCTAAAAAAAATGAAATAAAGTAAAAATAAAGAATAGAATGAGAAAATGGATGATGGGTGCATGGGACTTCTCTGTACTATTTTTACAGTTTGTTATGTGTCTATGGTTATTTCAAAATAAAAAGATTTTTAAAATTGTCTAGGCCGGGTGCAGTGGCTCATGCCTGTAATCCCAACACTTTGGGAGGCTGAGGCAGATGGATCAGGAGGTCAGGAGTTTGAGACCAGCCTGGCCAACATGGTGAAACCCTGTCTCTACTAAAAACATAAAAAATTAGCCGGGCATGGTGGCAGGCGCCTATAATCTCAGCTACTGGGGAGGCTGAGGCAGAGAATCACTTGAACTAGGAAGGCAGAGGTTGCAGTGAGCCAAGACTGTGCCATTGCACTTCAGCTTGGGCAACAAGAGCAAAACTCTGTCTCAAAAGAAAAAAAACATTATCTACCAGCCTGGGCTACGTAGGGAGACTCTATCTCTACAAACAATAT